GGGTGGGAGTTGTTGTTGAATTGGCAGTTTCATTTGGGGGAGATGGACAGAGCTCTGGAGATGATGGCGGTGATGGCTGCAGGACAGCGTGAATGTACTTACTGCCAGGGAGCTGGACACTTAAAGTGGTTAAAACCATAAATTGTACGCTGTGCTTTTAAAATGAAAAAGCATGGGCTTCGTCCCCTCTCCTCGTCTCCCAGGTACTGAAGTAAGAGCTCAGGCGTCGGCTGCGATTCTCTCTCGGCCCATTGGCTTCATCGTTGGCCAGATCGCCAGCTCATTCTCTGGAATGTTCTTTGTGTTTACACGCCTCTTCGCCCCCACTCGGCCCCTCCTCGGTTCCCTCAGGTCCCCTTTATTGGAATGGTCTTCAATGTCCTGCCGCCTCTCTTTGTGGACTTGCAGTCTGTAAATTGCAGTCATGTCTCAGTTCAGAGTGGACCTCAGAATCCTTCTTAACACAAAGCTCTAGGCAATAATAAATCAGATAAACTTTTTTTTTTAAAATATATCTTTATTGATTTCAGGAAGNTGGGAGTCTCGCCCGGTCTCCCACCTGAGCCCTTGACCAGGTAACTCGAGCATCCTTGGATGTCACACGGGGCCTCAAACTTAGGGTCCAGAAGGAAAGGCACCCCGTTCATGGCAGTGTTGTTCACGGTAGCCAAAGAGTGGAAGCAACCCGGTGTCTACCGGAGAATGAATGAGCTAAATGTGGTCTGTCATACAGTGGATATTATTCAGCCAGGACGGAAGGAGATTCTGGCACCTGCTACAACACGGGTGATCCTCGAGGACATGATGCTCAGTGAAATAAGCCAGACAGAAGGACAAATACTATGTAATTCCNCGCCTGGATCCTGGGTCAATGCTCAACCGCTGAGCCACGCCTGGCTGGGCCAGATTAACAGTCTTGACCCATATTCGGGGTTTAGACTTTTGGCCCAAAGATGAGAAAACCGCGATGGGCCCAGGCCTACTTCAGCCAGGCTCTCATGGTGTCTGGCACTGTGGTCATGGGGATCCCCCAGCACCTAAATTGCCAAGAGCTAGGGTGAGAGAGGAAGGGGGGAACCGTGGGAGGCAGATGATGGAGCTGAGGGCCCGGCAACGATGCCCTTGTAGGGCGGGAGCAGCGCTCTCCACCTGGTTCCAATGCCCGCATGCCAGACAGCCTCGCCCACGCTCCCAGCTCAGCTTCCCACCCTGCCCCCTACAGCCCCACCCCCAGGCCACTGCTCCCCAGATGGCTCCAATTAAAGGGCTTTTGTTTTCTTTCCATTTTCCCAAAATAAGCCTCCCTGTTCCAAACTCATTCTGCCTGGTCAGTGCCGGATGTGGGCCGGCCTGGCTTTGTGACTGCCCCGGTGTCACTCCTGTTGGGCTCTCTGTCCCAGCGGCCTGGAGCGGACATGGCTTGGTGCTCAGGGTGCTGGTCAGGGGCAGTCTTCACAGGCACCAGCACCCTCTTCCCAGGCAGAGCACCTGCAGAGCCCCAGGCAGAAGGGAGCTGGTTCAGAGCAGAGACTTGGGGGCCTGACAGGCCTGCAGTTGAGTAGACTCAGCTGTTTTCTCCGTGACGCTGGGCGAGTCCCTCACTAGTAAAACATGCACAATAAGAAGACTGTTTGGGGCTGTCTGAAGATAAAGCGTGCGTAAAGCACTTAGCACGGTGCCTGCCACATAGTAGGTGCTCGCTAACTGCTGGCTGTTGGGGGTCGGGGCCTGCAGACACACTCGTGACAGTGTCAGCCGTGCTGTTGGGCCTGCCTGTTTCAACGTGCTCTCTGGACCATAAACTCCTTGAAAGTACAAATCGCCCGGCCGGGCGCGGCTCAGCGGTTGAGCGTCAACCTAGGATCCAGGCGATCGGGGTTTGGTTCCCGGTCAGGGCACATGCCCAGTTGCGGGCTTGATCGATGACTCTCTCATCATTGATGTTTCTATCTCTCTCTCTCCCTCTCCTTTCCTCTCTCTGAAATCAATAAAGATATATTTTTTTAAAAAAGAGTACAAATCATGCTTCGTCTATCCTCACGCATTCGGAAAAGATTTAGTGAGTACTTACTGTGCTCCCGGTGCTGTGCTCAGCGCAAAGGATTTACAGCCCTTATCCCAAGGGGGTCACAGACTAGTGGGAGAAATGGGCAAGTTTTACGTAAGAAAGTGAGGAAGCCCAGGTTGGCTGGGGGAGCCCCGTGAGGCACCCAAACCCACTGCTTCAAGGGTGAGTAGCCAGCAGCCAGGGAAAGGAAGTGGGAGAAGGGCATTGGACACCGGGCTGAGGCCAGGGCGTGTGGTCAGTCCCCGAAATCAGTGGGAGGAGCAGCGATGATGGGAGCCAGCCAGGTGAGGAGTGGAGGGAACAGCATTCTGGGCAGAGGGAACAGCACACTGGGCAGCTGGGAGGCGTGCTAGATCCACGTGCTACCAAGTGTAGCCCCAGCGCACAGCTTTCCTGCTGGGAGCACACCTGTCCCGGCATCACCCTGAAGCCTCGTCGGCCCCTGGGGCTTGCCCGGATCTGAATTGCAACTGCAGATTTAATTCTTGTTGCTGTTTAGATCTTGGTGAGGGGCGGGTGTCTTTCCCCCGCCTCCAGGTTGCCTTTGGCAGAACCCTTTTCATCACAAAGCGAGGATTAAGTTGCTTTCTTGGCTCCTCTAATTAACTCTTGTAACAAAAAGTTCCTGCCGGTTCTCTGTGATGTTCCTGCACCTTCTCTCACCTCCTGGCTCGGCGAGGGGGAAAAGCAGCCCCCGAGGTTGCTGGTTTGCGTGAAATCCCAGCCAGTCTTTTTCCCATCACCATCCCGCTTCTAGCTGCCAGCTGCCTTTTAAGTGGCTCCAGGCCCCCTTCCCGTGCGTGTGCGTGTGCGTGTGCGTGTGCGTGCGAGGTGTCCGGCTGTTAGATGTCATGGAGGAGTCTGGGGACCCGCCTGGGCAGTGTCCTTTCGTGAGCGAGCGGGCGTCTGGGCCGCGTCCCCGCCCGGGCCGCCCGCGGAACAGAAGCAGCCCCCAGGCTGCCCTGACGCCGGCTTTGTGAGCCACACATGCGGTCCTTTGAGGGACGTGGGGTGACAGTGCCAAGCTGGGCTGCAGTGGAACTTTGCAAATCATCTTAGAACGTGGCAAGCCGGTTGCTTAAAAAAAAATTTTTTTAATATGTTTTCTCCAGTTTTAAATTAAAACAAGCTTCATGAGAGAAAATTGGGAAAATGCAGGACTGTTAAAAAGGGAAGTCGCTCTGCCCCAAGGACAATCGCATTTTTATTTATTATTTATTACTTTTATTTATTATTTTTAATGTATCTTTATTGTTGAAAGTATTACAGATGTCCCCTTTTCCCCCCGTTGACCCCTTTGTGCCTATTCTTTAGGGATTTTTGAATATAGTTTGATGATTCTGAAGGGTGATTCTTGCGTGTGTGTTTTTCATTCAACATTTTGACTTAAGCTTCCCCCATATTACAGACTAGTTGTCAGCTGTTCCAGTGGCTTCAATCATCTCTGAATTTATATCCTACAATTTACTGAATGCTTATGGTTCCAGTTTTTTGCTGTTGTTGTTAATCGTCACCTGAGGATATTTTTTCCACTGAGTTTTAGAGAGAGTGGAAGGGAGAGAGGGAGAGAAAGACAGAAACATTGATGTGAGAGCCCCATCGATTGGTTGCCTCCCGAATGCGCCCGGCTGGGCCGGGGATGGGACCTGCAGCCCCAGGACGTGCCCTTGGCCGGGAATCACCCCTGAACCCGCTCAGTGCGCGAGCCGACGCTCTAACCACTGGGCCACCGCCCAGGGCAGCCCCTCACTTTTGATGGTTTGACTTAACAATCTGTGGACTTTACGATGGTCGAAAGCGATACGCATTTAGTAGAATCGATGCCTTGAGTTTTGCATTCTGCTCTTTTCCCTGGGCCAGTGATGTGCCGCAGGATGCTGGTCAGGGCAGAGCGGGGACAGCCGGTCCTCTGCCCTGTGCTGCGTGGCCAGCGTCGGGGATGTTGTATCTTGTGGTTTTGCGTCCCATCACGCTCACCAAACACCCAGCTTCTCAAGAAGACTTCTCTTGAGAAATTTGGATCAGAAAAGAAGTTAGGTGGATGTGGGAGGAATGGGGGGGGTCCTAGGAGGATTGTGTTAGGACTGAGGGGCTTGGAACAGTACTGTCTCCAGGCACCAGGGGTCTGAAGTCCCTGGGAGGGAGGCCAAGGTCACAGGTTGAAGGGCCTGCTTTGTTGGGGTGTAGTAAAAGAAAGAACTTTCTAAGTGCAGAGCAGGCTTCTTCAGGATGTGGCCACATCTCGTTGCTGGAGATACTCGAGCAAAGAGAGAGGGCTGCCTGTTGGGGTGCTGCAAGGCAGGTTCCCGTGCAGGGAGGCAAGTTGGCCTAGATCAGGGACCTCAAGTACCCGGGAAGCGTGTCAGTGTTGTCTTCTGTGCCCCTGACAGGCATCACTAATTGATGGTGGCACCCCCAGCACAGTGCTCAGAACAGCCTCCAACGATCCAAGATAGTTTATGGGGCACAGCCGGTCTGGTCTCCCCGGACCAGGATTCCAACTCTCCCTTCCCTTCTGTAAAATGGGCCCGCGTCTTCCTGCTGCAGGGAAAGCTTACGAGATCACCTACGTGCGGCTCAAGTTCCACACCAGCCGCCCCGAGAGCTTCGCCATCTACAAGCGCAGCCGAGCGGGTGGCCCCTGGGAGCCCTACCAGTACTACAGCGCCTCCTGCTGGAAGACCTATGGCAGGCCCGAGGGCCACTACCTGAGGCCAGGCCAGGACGAGCGCGTGGCCTTCTGCACCTCCGAGTTTAGCGACATCTCCCCGCTGAGCGGGGGCAACGTGGCCTTCTCCACCCTAGAGGGCCGGCCCAGCGCCTACAACTTCGAGGAGAGCCCGGTGCTGCAGGTCAGAGAGGAGCGGGACTGGGCGGGCAGGGGCTGGGCTGCAGGTGGGACACGGGGTCCAGGGACCACAGGAAAGTCTAAAGCGTGGGGCACGGTCCCGTTGTCCTCTCCCAGGGAGTGCTGAGGACAGGGCTCATTTCTCCCAGCAACGAGGTGGGACGACACGCACTGGCTCTTGCCAACCAGGGAAGCTCACCTGCACCACAGCGTCCGAGGTCTTTGTTGGAGGTCCTCTGGGTAGACACGGTGACTGCCTGCATGGCTGACCTTCGTCTCCTGCCCTCCCGGAGGTCAAGCTGGTTTCACGTGGCCCAAGGTCCCACATAAATCACATGTCAGCATCGACTTCCTGGGGTGGCCCAAGACCCCAGGTGAAGAAAGACCCTTATCAAGCAGGACATTGTCATGGCTTAGAGGTGACCTCAGGACCAGGGGTGAAGGCCAGACCTCTCTCTGGACAAGGCTGATCCCCCATGGACAGAACCACAGCTCCAGACGCCCAGGCCCTGCTCATCCCATTCAAAATGTTCCCCTGAGACCATCGTGATTCTGTTTAAAATGACAGTGTCTCCTCTACGGGGCTCCAGGCTCCGCAGATTAGAAAAGGTCAGCCAAGCTCGTTTGAAGACGAGCAGAGAGTTTGGGCCCTGCTCCGCCTGCGTCTGTGCTGACGTCGCCCCGGGCAGAGGCTTAAGCTGGGAACCTTGGCAGCTGGGTTCCCTGATTTGTTGTCCTGTTTGTATGTCCTGGACACTGTCCCTAACAAACAACCTCAGAAATGTCCTCCACACCCCCTGCTGCTTCCAGACAGAAGCCAAGGTCAGGGAAGGGCAAAGAAAAGCAAGGCCACCAGCCCTTCTCTCCTGTCCCCTTGGGGTACACCCGCTGGCACTTTCTCTGAGGACAAGGAGCATCTGGGGGTAGGAGATGACAAAAGATGTGTCTGTGCGGCTGCCGGGTCTTGGGTCTCTCTGTCCCCTTTGAGGGGCCAAGGACATTGGGGAAAAGGCCGACCCAGCCAGGGCAGAATGGGCGGCAGAGCTGAGTGGCACGGAGGGGCTCCATCCTGGGGGGCTGGCTGGAGCGGGGGGCTGCTGAGCCCGAGCTCCGCCTCCTGCTGCTCCTCCGCGCAGCATTCTGGACCCGGCCTCTGTCCGGAGTCAGCTGACTCCCCACTCCAACCCAGTCCCCACGCGTAGTTTTAGCTGAGGCGATTAGAAGTTGCAAGGGCCCGTGGCCTGTGTGCATCGGGGCTCCAGTTTGCCCTAAAGTGACCTCTAAGGCCTCAGGGAGGGCCCCACCCAATTTGGGCTTAGGCAGCGATTCCTCCTGCTCTCTCCCAGCTCCTGTCCCAGTGTCTCAGGGAGACTTGGACACTGTCCCCATCCCCGTCATCTTTGCAGACCGACGGGACAGGTCATAGGTCGCAAAGCAGATGCAGGAACCCAGAGGAGGGTCACGCGGGCTGGAGACTGTGGGCCAGTCGTTGCCCTCTGGGCCCCCTGGTATTTTTTCTTTTAATCCTTCCCCGAGGATTTTTTTAAATTGCTTTTCAGAGAGAGTAGAGGGGTGGGGAGGGGGGAGAGAGAGAGAGAGAGAGAGAGAGAGAGAGAGAAACATCAGTGTGAGAGAGACAGATCAATTGGTTGCCTCCCATACATGCCCTCACTGAGGCCAGGGATCGAGCCTGCAACCGAGGTGCGTGCCCTTAGCTGGAATCGAACCCTGGACCCCTCAGTCCCCCAGCCAGTGCTCTAACCACTGAGCCACTAACTACTAACCACTAACCACTAGGGCTGGGCCGTCTGGTATGAGGAGGGTGTTGGGGTGGATGCAGGAAGGCAGGCCTCCCGGTTAAAGCTGGGGCTGGAGCCCCAGCTCTGCTGTGCATCAGCTGTGCAAGCTGGAGCAGGACACTTACCCTCCCTGAGCCCGTCTCCTCTTCTGTAGAACGGGGGTAATAATGTTACGGGACCAGGACTGGGCCCAGAGCGGGGCTGCCTCGGCCGGCTGGTGCTATGTGTGGGTTCTTGGCTTTGTGCAGGAGAGATTTCACGACAGGAGTCCCGGTGACTTTGAGAGGGCGTTTATTAAAGCTGGGGACAGTGCAACAGGAAGGGCCTAGGATAGAAGGAGCATCGGGAGAGAGCCCGGGTGGGGCTCGGCTTTGGCTCCCTGGAAACCTTATAGGCAAGAAGCGAGCCAAGGCCGGGAACTGACATTTGAGAAGTGATTCGGGGGTGATGGGGACCTACAAACTCAGCCGAGGCTCCCGTTGAGGTTTTCTGGCGCTGGACCCCCCCTCCCCGGCTGGAGCATCCTCGGGCAGGTCCTGGGTGTCGGGCAGCGGGCTTGCAGGCGCTGAGCTCCAGGAGCAGCAGAGGCCTGCTGGCCTGAGTCATGCTGGGGACAAGGTAGGCCTTGCCAGGCATTCGTTTTCTGTCCTGATGGGCCCGATTGCGAAACCAGGGGCTCCTGGGCTGAATTAAAATACTAATTAAGATTCGGCCAGAACCACCTGATTATAACAAACAGCAGGCAGAGGAAAATGTCAGCCTGCACCTGGGTCTCTCCCGCCAGCTCTTCCAGGGGGAGCTGCTCTCTCGGTGATCAGCAAGTGTTACTGAGAACCTGCTGGGCGTGGGCAGAGCTGGGGCTGGGGAGGCGGCGAGTAAAGGGGCCGCAAGTCCCTGCTCTGTGGGGTGTATGTTTTGGTGGGACAGACATACCTGGGACAGGTGACTTGTCTGTGGGATCCTGATTGGTAGCCCGTGAGACGCCTACGCCAGGCTTAGCTGAGCAGGGGGAAGGGCGCCGGGACATGTTCTCCCCCAGCTGACCTGTAGAATGGGGGTGCAGGAGCCATTGGGAGAAGTCAGGTGACCTGCACAACAGGACCACCGCATACCCAGCCTGTGCCAGACCCCCACGCCCCGCTGCTGACCTCAGCCATCCTCCAGACACCCTCGTGGGCTCGGCGCTGTTCCATGTCCCATTTCAAAGATGGAAATACAGGTGCTCCAGGACCTCGAGCAGCTTCCCCAAAGTGGCACAGCCAGGAAGTGGCCTGGCCCCCAGGCTGGTGTGTCCCCAACACCCAGATTCCTGACTTTTGCACTGTTCTTGGGATTTGCCCCAGCTTGGTCTGAGGGGCCTCCCAGCCGAGTGGGATGAGAGCAAACGCTCAGAACCTGCTGATGGCGGCCCTTCCCCTTCCCTGTGCCCCCTGCCCCAGGAGTGGGTCACCAGCACCGAGCTCCTCATCTCCCTAGACCGGCTCAACACGTTTGGGGACGACATCTTCAAGGACCCCAAGGTGCTGCAGTCCTACTACTATGCTGTGTCTGACTTCTCCGTGGGCGGCAGGTAGGTGGGAGGCAGGGCCGAGGGACCAGGACCCCAGGACCATGGTCCTGGGGCAGAAGGTGGCTGCCATGTGGGTGTCACCTCGTGTGGGTAGAGGGTAAAGAAGCCACCTCTGGTGCCCCGGGGAGAGAGAGAGGGAGCAGGACCCTCCCATCGCACAGGCGGTTCTGTTCCTGCCACGAAGGGGCATTTGCTCAGCGTAGAGCTACGCCCCACTGCTCCCCTCCCTGCCACCCCCACACTTGACTCAGGTCAAACCACCAGGAGCAGGTGTCCTCCAAGGATGGCGGATGGCAGGGAGCTCCAACGCCTGCTGTCAGGGGGCTTTGGCCCAGAGAACATCTGGGTCCCAGCTGCCAGAGCGGGACCACCCCCAGGCGGCAGCTGGCTGGTGGCAGGTGGTCCAGCCACCTATGTCCCACCCACAATGACCTACACGAATTTCACTCCTTCCCTTGGGGTCACAGGGCTTCATGGGGAAGGGAGGTGTTTCCCGCCACCCCTTGGGAATACGAGTGGTCCACTGTCCCAAGGCTGCCTGGTGCCCACTTTGCCCCTGCCAGAAATGCTGGGGCGTTACCTGCCTTCCCTGGGCTCCCAGGGAGGCGTGGCAAGGAAGCCATGCCCTGGTCCCTTTCCCAAGCCCCGTGTCCCCAGAGTGGTCAGGATTCTTCAGTGCCCACATGTGGCGAAGCGTGAGACACGGCTTATGGGGAGCCACAAAGTGGCCCTAGAGAACTGGCCAGGAACTCGGGGTCTGTGCGGAGTAGAACAGGGTTCAGGTTCTAGCTCTGCCACTTAGCGCCTTTCGCGTCATGGCCTGAGCCTCTGTTTGCCCATCTGTGAAATGGGGATAGTTACAGTCCTTCTCACTACAGCAGTGGGGCTCCAGCGAGACGTGGCAACCCTGTTGATCTGGGTCGGGGGGCACAGAGGAAGGCTGGGAGTTAGACACCATGGTCGTCCTCTAAGTAGCTCAGTTTGGCCACTCAGGATGGGGGTGATGGCCCCCCCAGGGTCAGGCCCACTGGATCACGGCCCCCAGAGCACCTCTTTGTCGCTGCCCAGTTCCAGCCGTCTCCTGGCCTGTGGGAGGGTGGGTGAGGTGGGACTCGGGCCAGGGCTGCCCGCCAAGGCCCAGACTCACTGGGGCTTGAGATGCGTTGTGAGCCGACCTCCGTAAGGAGCAGGGCATGAGGCGCCTCCCACCACTGCCCTGCCAGCTGGCCCACCCTCAACCCGGGAGACAGGACTTCCTGCGTCCCTCTGGGCCCCTGCGGGCTCCTTCTGGGCAGAAGCCTGCAGAGGCCGCCTTGTGAACTCTGCCATTACTAACTGCTGGCCTGGGGCACCTCTCTGTGCCTCAGTTCCTCCATCTGTGAAATGGGCAAGAGCTTGTGATGTGCAGTGGGATTGTCAGCAGAGCTCAGAACCGGCTCTGTTACTGGTGTCCTGGGCATATAGTAGGTGCTTAATAAAGCTCCATAATTGAGCCATGGCACTGGGCTCACGGGAATGCGGGGCATCCTGGTGACTAACTCCCCCTCTGCCGCACCCTCTCGATTCTGGACCCCTGTCCTCCGTGTTCTTTCCCAGGTGCAAGTGTAACGGGCACGCCAGCGAGTGTGGCCCGGACGTGGCCGGCCAACTGGTCTGCCGGTGCCAGCACAACACCACGGGTACCGACTGCGAGCGCTGCCTGCCCTTCTTCCAGGACCGCCCGTGGGCGCGGGGCACGGCCGAGGCCGCCAACGAGTGTCTGCGTGAGTGTCCCCGGACTCTGGGGGCCAGGGGTGCAGCCGGGAAGCACCCCCACCCCGAGACCCGGTCGTGGGGGCTGCTTCTGGGTGGGCCTGGTGGCAGCTGGGACTCTGAGCCCCACTCAGCTGCAGTGGGGGAGACGCCGAAGGGGGGCAGGAGGCGGGCGTTGCATTGTCAGCCCTTCCCCCTGCAAGCAGCTCCCCCAGACCAAGTCCCCCACAGTGGAGGTGTTTGTTGTGGGAGGGCTGGGAGCGTCCCCCAAATCGTTCCTTTGTTTCAGCTGCCCCAACCGCAGCTGCTAATGAAAGCCAGGCCACCCTGGGTCCTAGGGGGTGTGGGCCTGCCCACCCAGCCTGTCCCACAGACCCCAGCAGCCCTTTCATGTCCCAGCCCCCTGTGATGTGGCTTTGACCACATGCTGGAGAGGACCGGCTGTCATACCTTCTCCAGGGACGTGGGGCTGCGCACGGGGAGGGCGGGAGGGCCCACTGCCTGCCTTCCAGGCTGGTGTCCCCAGCCTGCCCCAACTTCCCATCCCCAAGCCCTGCCCTGTCTCCCCAGACAGTCATCTGACGTGCTTCAGGCTCCTGGTGTGTAGCTGGTGCCGCCGCTGGCAGGACCGTCTTCATGTGCAGACTTGGCCCCTGGGCCTTCTGTTCTCTTGGGCTTGGGCCACTGGCAGCTAGATCTGGGGCAGGGAAGGGACAGCCTGTTCCGTGGGACAGGGTGCTGTCTGCAGGGGCTGCCAAGGGCTGCTGTGACCCTAATGGGTTCCTGCTGCCCTCGTTGGCCTGCCTCCACCAGGGAGTCCTCCAGGCCAAGGAAGCTATGCTGGCTGGTTCACCGTTCCGAGCCGGGCACCATCTCCATGGTGGGGACAGGGAAGGCCAAACTGCTTCTCTTGCCACGTCCTCAGCGCTGTGGTCACATCATTGTCCTCCCAGTCACCAGCCTGGAAGTGGAGACTTCATGCCTGACCCCTCACCACCCCCAGGCCCAGCAGCCCCTGAGCCCTGGATTCAGCCTGGTCCACGTCCCTCCAGCCCATCTGTATCCTTCTACGCAGTCAGTGCCCCGTCACTCCTCCCGGACACCAAGCTCCCTCTTCCCTGCTGGCCCAGCCCCCCACCCTCCTCCACCTGCAGCCTTGGGGGTTTCTAAACTGCAGATGTGATTGCGTTCACCCTGCTCAACCCCCCCACAGCCCCCTTGCTCCAAGGTGAAGGCCACTGCCCGGCCTCCTCTGTCAGGCTCTGCCAACCTCGTGACCTCATAGCTGCCCTCATACCCCTCCCTGTCCTGTCACACTGCACAGTGTCCCCACCCTCTTCCCTGCCCATCACATGACATGCTCACCCCCTGCACACACGGGGCAGATCTTGTCTCTCTGGCTGTCTGCAGTTTATCTTCTGCCCTCACCTCCTGCCTGGGACTCTCCCCTCCCTTCCCTCCCTCCTGTCCCCTCCTTCACCAGCCAGCTCCTTCCTGCTCACCCCTCAGATGCCGCTATAGCTGTGACTTCCCCCAGGAAGCCTTGCCCATCCCCCCAGGACAGCTGTAGGGTCCCTCCTTTCAGCTCCCGGAGCCCTCCACCTGCAGGATTCCCCGGGCTGCTGCATCTGGCCTCCCTGAACGGGGCAGCATGTGTGCAGGAGCTGGGATTGGACTGTTCACTGGTTCCCCTGCCCCTGCCCACCCCCGCTCACCACGGGAGTCAACCCAGAGCTAGTCCTTAGTACATAGATTTTTTTTTAAAATGAATTAATGAGCGAGTAAACATGTATTTTTCCATGTTTCTGAGTTACCCCATGATCACTGGGGACCAGATTCACACCAGTCCATAAGAGATCCTGGAGTGGTCCATACTACCGCTCCAGAAGGTGGCCTGTCTGTGATTCATGACCAGGGCACTGTCTTTCCTAGATTGCCTCAGAGGGTGCTGTGTTTTGGTATATTTACTAATGGTGCCCTCTCTGCTCATGAAAGTGGCCTATTTTAGAATCAATTGATTGGTCTCCATATCCTTGATCAAGCTAGGCCTGAGCTCCATCTTTGACCTTCCCCGAGCTGCCTGCTCATTCAGCACGAGGAGGCCGATTGGCATGGACTCCCCTCCTGTCACATGCCACGGCTACTGACCCCCCCACCTGCTGCCCACAGCTTGCAACTGTAGTGGCCACTCTGAGCGGTGCGTGTTCGACCAGGAGCTCTTCCGCAGCACGGGCCACGGCGGGCGCTGCCTCCGCTGCCGCGACCACACGGCTGGGCCGCACTGCCAGCACTGCCAGGAGAACTTCTATCGCTGGAACCCCTGGAAGCCCTGCCAGCCCTGCGACTGCCACCCGGCAGGTGAGTGGGCCATGCTACCCCAGCCCCTAGCCTCACCCCATTCGGCCCCTGCTGCCCTGTGCCCTTCCTCCCCCAGGCTCCCTGCGCCTGCAGTGTGATGACTCAGGCACCTGCAGCTGCAAGGCCACCGTGACGGGCTGGAAGTGTGACCGCTGCCTGCCCGGGTTCCACTCGCTCAGTGAGGGAGGCTGCAGGTGAGGGTGGCAGTGCAGTGGGTGTGGGTGGCCTAGCAGGGGCGCGTGGCGGGGGTTTGGACTGAATGGCCAGCCGGATGGAAGGATGCATGGGTGGGTGAGTGAACAGGTGGGTGGGTGTGCGGATGGACGGATGAGTG